CTTGTGCTCCAGACCCTTCCCCAGCTCCGTTGCCCTTCTCTGGACACGCTCCAGCACCTCCATGTCCTTCTTGGAGTCAGGGGCCCAACACTGAACCCAGCACTTGAGCTGCGGCCTCAGCAGTGCCCAGGACAGGGGGAAGAGAACTTCCCTGGTCCTACTGGCCACGCTGGTGCTGATCCAGGCCAGGATGCCCTTGGCCTCCTTGGCCACCTGGGCACTCTGCTGACTCATGTTCAGCCGCTGTCCACCAACACCCCCAGGTCCTTTTCTGAATATTTCCTCTTCCTCTGAAAGACGACTGGGTGAGAGGTCCTTCTATCAGATCAGCAAACGTAGGACATGCCAAACCAGTAGCTTCTCAGAACATTTCTAGTTCTTGCTGCTATCACAGGCCTCCAAGATATTTTTTTACTTTAAACTGGGATTATTTTTGAATGCTGCTACCTGGGGACTAGGTGCCAAGCACAAGATCTGAACCTGGCTTGTGCAGTGGAAGACAAGCCTGGGAACTGAAGTTCAGCTGCTTGGGTTCAACTGGTCTCTTTACTACTAGGCTCAGTGGAGCACCCAAAATCCTTGCATTTTATCTTAGTCTAATAGAAAAATGGATCATAGCCATCAAGTTTGCGACAGCACCCAAGAGAAATTTTTCAAAAATAGGGGCTTTCTTCTGGATGCACACAGCTTGGTTAGGATAAGGGGAGATACTTGAGAAGTTTCTCTGTGCCATGAAAGGGTTTCGCGGTGGCATTGAATTCTGTCAGCAAGACTGAAATTATTTTTCCATTATAATGAAAATACAAATTGTACATTATCTTAGGAATTTTCAGAAGTTTCGTTTAAGTTTTACCTTTGTAGGATAGGAGCTTTAAATTCATATTATTTTTGCATATAATGCAAAAAATTATCTCTGGAAAGCAGGTAACCGGGGTTCAGATGCGAAGTCAGCATCAGCCAGGCTCTCTGGGAGCAAGTGTTTATTATTAGTAGCCTTTAAGAAGGTTTGGACACAAATAACCATTTTTTGGCTATCAGCAATAGGTACCAGTACACTTCCTAAGTGCTTCATGGCAGTTACAGCTAATCTGGTCTAGGAAGGGTTGCACAGTCCAATGCTGGACCAGAGAGGGAAGAGGAGGTGGTTTCTGTGTTGTGTCCTGCAGGTTTGGGGGGGTGGGAGGGCAATAAATGGGGGCCCATCACCTGCTCCCACCTCTGGAGGCATCTGGCAGAACCACGAACATCTTGGGGGTGGCTACCTGGGCTACACCTGGATCTGATTTATGTTGTCTCTCTTGTTTTCCATTCCCAGGAGTGCCCTGGAGTGTGCTCAGCAGACAGTGGGTTTTGCTTTTGGAGAATTCCATGTGAAATAATCCAGTAAATCTTGTTTTCACAGATCATTTTATAGCACTTGTAAAAATAAGTAAGGAAAGTGGATTTTTGTCTTGTATGCAAAAAGGAGCCTTTAGGGGCCACATCAGAGATTAATAGAGAGAACCGTCTTGGCTTAAATTAAATAAAAAAGAATGAAAGCCACTTCTGTGGTTTCACCCATGCATATTTTGCTTGATTTAGGGCCAGCACTACTTTTGGTGTTTAAGGCACTTGTGGCTTTCCAAGTTCCTCGTCTTTCCAACTGCTTATCAATTGTATTTTCTGCTTTGTGCGCACTTGCTCTTTGGATGTACCGTCAATAAATGTGTGTGAGTTAAGTGTGGGCAGTAGGTGAACAGTGATGTATTTTCAGCAGTAACCTGTATATTCAATAAAGAAGATGATATAAAATATTGCATTTTTAAAGAAAGATTTTTTTTTTAAATATCAGGTCTTGTTTAATGGGAGGTAGTGTAAGGCTTTGCTAAGTATTTACTCTGCAAATGCCTCTGAGCACAAGTCCTAGAGCATTCAGAGACAAATTCAGAGCTTGTTTCGGGCAAGATGGACGTGTGCCTTGATTGTTGGACAGGATTATGCAGTAGAAGAGCAAAACTTGTACATGGATTTATAAAATAAGGATCAAAGCACTCTACTTCTCAGTAATGTAAACAGGTTGTCAGAGCTTTTAGCCTAGACATAGAAGAGGTGTCTCGTGGTGCCATGAAAAGCAGGCAAGCAACCACTAGCTCTTATTTTTATCAGTAAGAAAC